ACTCAGAGATCCTACCTGCTTTAGAACTAACCTTGGATGTTTAACAGCCATACTTTGAGGCCTATACTAATTTGGTCAGAGGGACATAAAGGACAGTTTTTGCTCCTTGCCCTCCTACATCGACTAAGCTCCAGTGGACTATGAGCATCTCTCAAAATGTCCTGTAACTGTGGTGCGTCATCTGTCCTCTTGATTAAGGAGACCATGGAGACCCCACCAAATGGACTTGAACTAGTTAGTATCCAGTCTACAAAGAGGAGGGTCAACACAGAGAAAACATTTCCTCCATGCTTGGCCATAGTCAAGCAGGACCTTTGATTTATCTTCACATAGATGGAACTGGTAAAAGAAAGGAGCCAGAGGCTCTTCCCAACCCCATGTGACCCGTGAGGAAGAGATCCTCAAACAACCTTAAAAGTAAAAATAAATTGGTTTATCTGGGCCAACTGTATGGTCTTAAACACCCAAAAGGAAAGTAGAACTGAAACTTAGAGGGATCAATATAATTCTTTGAATCCATGTGTATAGCTAAAGGCTACATAACAAGAAACAATGCCAGACAGGAGATACCTTCCCTTGAGTTATTTAGGCCAGGGTGGCCCAAGAGACTCCCAGACAGTAACCCAGCATAGAACTGGAAAAATGAAGAGCAGACCCCAATCTTATCTAAAGAAATATTGGCAACTGATTGTTGCTAGATGAGAAAGAGCTGATCTTCCTAAAACAAGGAACTCTAGATAGGCTGACTAGGTTCAGTGGATGGACAAGCACTGGGGAATGGCTGGGGGTGCCGACAACACAGTGGACAGTAACAGGGATGACAGACTATATGGGCTCCAGTGGGGGGAGGGAGGCTATGGGAGGGTGCCATTTGGGAAGTGGGTATATAGAGGAATAAGATTGTTTGGGATGTTCTGTATGATATACACACAAAAAAAATCAACAAATTAAAAAAATGATTTATATTTGAGGAGGAAGCATAAAAATTTACTTCATGATAATTAGTAGATGTGATAAGCATTACCACTGAAATCTATCTGATAATTTTATATCCATACTCAGGTGCCAAGGATCTGAGTGTAACCAACTGTGACTAGTAATAATCAGATACATAGAGATTAGAGATGCGTGTTCAAACATCTAAGTGTTATTAGCATTAAAAATGAGTTTTTCTGTATGAAACAGCCTATCTTAAAATGAAATGGAGATCTTTTTTAAAGGTTAAAACCTCATTCAATTTTATATCTTATAGGGTTTATACTGAGTTCAATATTGTACAACTGTATTAATTCAACTGTGAACCTAAAAATTTACAGCCAATTTTGAAAGAGATGCATCCTTACTCTGGAAATTGTTATTGAATATGTTAATGCTGTAATGAAATGCTTCTTCTAATCATGTGGTTATTAAATAAATAATTTTTTAAATGGAGAAGCAAACTATTTGATAATTTTATAAATGTATAATATATATGGGACATTATGTAACAACTACAACAAAATGACATCCAATTGTGATATTACTCTACAGGAATTTGGAACTAGGATTGAACTCATTTTGAGGTACTGATTGGGCTAGTGCATTTATTCTGTTCAGAAAATACCTATATATTGTCCATTTGTTATTCAGTAAAAGGTATGAAATATTTCAATTTACTGTATTAATGATTTTTAAGTGTACATATTAACATTGTTAAGTATCGTTACATTGTAATACAATAAAACTCTACAAGTTTCATCTAATAAAAATGTACCTCTACAAAAAAAATACTGTGGGCAATAAAATATCAAATGTTCTTATTGTTAAAAAAAATAATAATAGGGGCTGGAGGGATGGCTCAAAGATTAAGAACACTGCTTGTTCTTGCAGAAGACCTGGGTTCAAATCCCAGCACCCACATGGCAGCTAACAACTTTCATAACTGCAGTCCCAGGGGATCAGAGAGCCTCTTCTGACCTCCGCAGGCATTGCATGACACAGGTGCACTTACCTACATGCAGGCAAATATACACACACACATAAAATAAAAAAATAAAATTTAAAATAATTGTTTACTTGTTAAAATGAAAATATTTAATTACCAACAACCTACTTTACTTAGGCACTGTTTATAGCCAAATAAACAGTAGTGCACAAAACCTGAAGAGCTCCTCACAGACTGTAATAAAGAAAACAGACAACAAACATAAATTGGGTTAAATAAAAATATTAGTAGAGAGCCGGATGTGGTAGTGCACACCTTTAATCCCAGCACTCAGGAGGTAGGTGAATCTCTGTAAGTTCAAGGATGGCCTGGTCTACATAGTGAGTTCCAGGCCATCTGGGGCTACAGGGAGACCCTGTCGAAAAAAGAAAAAAAAGAGTATATGGACTAGTGAGATGGTTCACTGATGAACTGAGTTCCATCCTAGAACCTGAGGTAGAAGGGGAAAACTGACTCCCAAAATGACTCTCTGACCTCTACATGTGCACCGTGGCATGTGCTCTCACTCAAATAACAAATTGAAAATTTTAAATATAAAAATTAGTAGAGGGGCTGGAGAGCTGGCTCAGAGGTTAAGAACACTGGTTGTTCTTGAAGACCTGGGTTCAAAACCCAGCAGCCACATGGCAGCTAACAACTGTCATAACTGCAGTCCCAGGGGATCCGAGAGCCTCTTCTGACCTCTGTAGGCATTTCATGACAGGGTTGCAGGCAATACACACAAAATAAAAATAATAAAATGTTAAAAAAATTAGTAGAGTTAGTTTCATCTGATTTCTTTGTTTTAAAAAAGTCTGTTAGCACATTTAAAACTATATATGCAGTTTACATTTGTAATTTGATTTCTTTTGGATAGTACTGGTCTTAATGCTTAAGATACTGATTCTTGAGTCCCCAAAGATTGTGCTTTGATTAAAACCTGGAAATCTTGTTTTAGCTTGCCAAGTTTCAACCCACAGGTTAGGGAAGAAAAGTCACTGTTTTACATAGCTGTTGATCAAGTGACTGCACAGAGTGAGGGAAGCGCAGCACTCCTTCTCAATTTCAGTCATGTAAAAACTTACCATTCCAAGCTGTGTGGTGGGTGACAGGTGCTCAGGATCCCAAGATGTCACTGTAGTATTTCTTTGGACTGGTTATCTTAATGCATATGACAGAAACATATAAACTCTGGAGGTGCAGGTAAGGATAAGGGGTTAAAGTTCATCCTCATCTACATAGCAAGTTCGAAGAGACCAATTAGGCCATTTGAGATCCTGTCTAAATAATAACTGCCAACCCATAATAACCATACCTGTGCTTTCCAGTTCACAAAACCACTTCAAAATATAATCACAACACATAACCTTTTTGTAGAAATAAAGAACAGGTGAGCAGTATCTGTAACAAGTTGATCTTGTAGATACCTTGTCTTTAGCTCTATAACTCTGTGTGCTGTTGTCAATAGAGAAAAGTAGGAAATTGATGAAATAAGTTAGGATACACTCACCTGAATACCATACAGGCTATAAAAATGCCATCCCTATGTACTAATATGGAAAGATGTTTATAATCTTGAAAAGTAACTGCAGCAAGCATATAGATCCCAGTCATGTGAAAATGTACATATATTTGTGTATGCATTGAAATTTCAAAAATTGTTAATAGTGGTTACTGGTTGAGAATAGTATTGGTGTGAAGATTCCCAGGGATCCAGGGATGAGAAAAGGAAAATTTTTTTTTGGGGGGGGGGTCTTTTTGAGACAGGGTCTCCCTGTAGCCCCAGCTGTCCTGGAACTCACTATGTAGACCAGGCTGGCCTCGAACTCACAAATACCGCCTGCCTCTGCCTCCCAGGTGCTGGGATTAAAGACGTGCGCCACCATGCCCAGCGAGAAATCTCATTTTTTGTTTTTTTAACATCGTTTTACAATTTTTTTTAGCACTGAGGAATATGCAAATTTACCTTGTACATTTCAAATATTGTGAAAAAACAACACAAAGCCCAGCAGGTAATTATTTTGTCACGTATGAGAAATTTAATTTTCACTGTAACCTTTCAGTCTTGAGTTCATTCTATTTTTCTGAAAGCCACCGTTTGAACATATAGTCATTCAACCAATTAATTACCAAAAACCTACTTTACCGTAGGCAATTAGCCAAATAAACAGGAACTGCACAAATGGGCGCCTCACACACTGTGCTAGAGAAAACGGACAGCAAACAAACGCACACATAAACAATCTAAATTAGTCATAAATGCTGTGAAATAAGACGAGCTTTCCAATGTAACATGCGCATACATATATTACTTATATATGGTAATTACTGAAGATCATTTTGGATCTTAAGTCTGTAGTTTGGATCAAGTATTCACGAACACACCTCAAATAAACCAAAAATAGCGAAGTCTAGCGGTATGATTCCTAGGTCGGGAACTTGGACGCTTTGGACCTGCTTCCCCATCCGGGAAACGGATTGGTCTCAGGACCGTGGCGGTGTAACAGTCCCTCGCGGCGGACCACAGGGTGGGTTGGGCCTGGCGTGGGGTCGCGAGCCCCCTGCAGCCCCGCTGCACTGCCGACCCGCACGAAGCGCAAGCGCACCACGTCGTCCGGGTGCTGGCGGCCAGAACCCGCAGGCACAAGCCAGGTCGGACCCTGTGACTCCCAGCAGGCGTGACCTCGCCTCTCACTGCGGCTGTTAGTTTGAATTCTGGCGCCACTCCCACGCCACGTAGGGCCAAGCCGCCCGCCAGGCTGGGAAGAGACTGAGGGCAGCGGTGGGCGGGAGCCCGCAGGAAGACGAGCACGCGGCAAACGGGCGGCGCGCGCGACAAGCTCCAGGGCGGCCCGGAAGAACAGAGCCGACGGGCGCGCTCCCACGCCTTGCCTCAAGGAGAGGCCACGCCCCCGAAGGCTCACGCATCCAATAAGGACGAGAGGGCGGGGCAGCCTCGGTCTCGCTCAGCACAGGCTATATAAGGGGCCGCGTGCGGCCTTGTTCTTTCTTTTGCGTCGCCGAGCGGAGGTTGTTGTACAGTGAGAGGTTAGTCGGGAGTAGGAGAGGGCGACCGAGCGCGATGACGGGCTCGTAGAGTGAGTCGGGGGCTTCTGTGCGATGGAACCACCCCAGAGATTTGAGCTTATGGTGTTGTCGAAAGCTTCCGCGGGGAAGACGTAGGTGTTAGTGGAGGAGACGGGCCCGGCGGGGGCTGGTGGCCGCTGGCGTACTGCCCCAGAGCCTAAGCTTACGTGCAGCCGTGCGTGCGCATACGGTTGGGAGCTGGAGGCTGCAATGCCAGCGATCTCCATTCCTACGCTGCAGGCCTTACCGCATGCACACTGCTTTCGTCTTAGGCTTTATGTGCTGTTTTGATCAATGACTGGAAAGGAATCCGTGCCCCTAAAAAGGCTGTTTGATCGCAAACCCAGTCCCCTTCCAGGAACAATGGCACCATGCTTCTCCAGGCCGTGGGAGCAGCGGCGCACAGAGGCCAAGGTAAGGCAGTGGTTTGCTTTGGAAACTGACGGGGTAAACGGTTCGATATCAAATGGCTTAACACATAGAATTTGATTATCATTAAATACAGGAGAAAGGCCTAAGCCATCGGAGGAAATGCTTAACGGAAACTTTCTTGTTTAAAACCTGACTTCCCAGGTGTGTATGGAACCTAGTATCTGGGCAAGACTTCACCCCAGTAGCTGCCTTTGTGCATTCATGTCGCCTTTTTTTTTTTTTTCCAGTGAAGAGCTTCCAGGATTCTGAATACTGAGACCATGAAGTCCACACAGGCACTTAATTTTGAAGTAAGTTGTATGGCTGAAGATAGCTGTAGTCTTCCTAGAATTATCTGGCCGTTCATCTTTGGATTGGTTATGGTAATATTGTATAAAGTATGAGTCATAATTGGTCTAATCAATGATGACCTGTATCCCGAAGCTGATAACCTGAAGAGAAGCCATATACGGATTCGGCTTCTGAGATAAGACCAATCTGTAAATGAAGTGATTTTCTTAATTGCGTAGTTTTCCAATACAGTTATGCTCACAGTAACTAAAAAATACTTTTCTTCTGCCATCAGTGGGATGCCAACCCATTGGAATGCCAGCGGCCCATCAGAAACTTAAAGAATGTGAGTGGAGTTTTTTGGGTTTTTTCCTCTTCTGAATATATTGGGTCCTTGGTCTAATCTGTGATGATCCTATCCCGAACCTGAATTTCTGTTGAAAATCTTAATTACGGATCTGGCTTCTGAGATAGACCATTGTAAAAACATTGCTGTTACTTTTTAATGTGGATAGTGTTGTAATTCTCAGTCTTTCTTTTTCTAGGGCCAGTGACAAGACCTGTATGTGATAAACATCAAGAAAATGCTAACATAAGAAAAGTAAAATTTTGGGATAGCATGGTGCATACATAGATGTCAGCACGTAATCCATGTGTGTGGCTTTCTTTGTGACAGTCTTTAGCTCCGGCTGGCCTGGAACTAGCCATGTAGACCACAGAAATCCATGTGCCTACTAGGTGCTGGAATTAAAGGCATGCACCACCACAACTGGCACGTGGTTTTCTTGAGGTTTTTTTTTTTTTTTTTAAGGTCTTAATACCACCTGTGAGTGCACTAGAAAGCCACTGGAGTTACAGGAAGTGAGTCACCCAACCTGAGTGCTGGAAATGAGACTGGTCCTTTGCAAAGGCAGGGTGCTCTTTTAACCACTGAGCTGTCTACTTCTCTCAAGTATTTTGTCTTTGATCCCCTGTTTTGGTTTAAAATTGAACTAGAGGGTAAAAATATGGACTGATTAGTTCACCTGGACAGCCTTTCCTCATCATCTGGTTGTCATTCTGTATGAAAATTGTCATGAATGAGAAACCAAATCAATCATAAGTGCTAGTGTGAACTTGGCTGTTACTTGTCAACAGAGGCCATTTTCATGTGAAGAGATGCAGTTAACTATGGGCTGTATTTCCTTGGCTTACTCATCCAGCAGTGGTTCTACATTAACACTGCAATAAACATGCAAGTATCTATTTTTTTCACAGGTTTGAGACAGGATTTCATAGAACCCCTCCCTACTGCTGTCATCACTGTATGTCAATATTTCCAGCTTTCCATACATTGTGTTTTCTTAATTGCGTATGAGTATGGGTGCCAGAAGGGGGTTTTGGGTGTCCTGTTGCTAAGTGATAATAGGCAGTTGTGACCTAGCCTTTGTGGGTAGGAGCCAAACTGGAAGAGCAGCGAGAACTCTTTAACAGCTGAGCCATCTCTGGCTCCTTGCACACATCCTTGTCAAGAAAGGCTAGGCAAGTCCTCCTGTTGTGTATTTTTAAACCCCCCCCCCCCACCCGTGGTACCCAGGGTTTCACATGTCATGCAAATCTTAATACTTGGTCATATCCCAGCCTTCACTTCCTTCTCACCTCCATTCCTTGCAGTTAAATGAGCTACTCGCTGCTTTGATTAAAGTGTTTTCTGTTTTGGCCTGTGGTTTCAGGCATCTTGTCCAAAATGTCCAACCCAGTGTCCTGCAATAACTTTTGGGAGGTGGGGCTGCTAGTTTTTTCTTGGTCTCTTACCCTCAGCTGGCCTGGAACAGATCTGCCTGTCTAGTGCTGGGATTGAAAGCATGGGCCACCATCTCGGGCCTCATTTTGAGTTTTGTACCTAGTAAAAGATGGACCTGGATTTTTAGCTTTCTCCAGTGTGCTTGCTACATTTGTTGGAAACCAGCTACATATAATGCAGTTTGCAGATCCTGCCCTGTTGCTGTATTGGCTATTTTCACAAGTGCTCTTGTTTTGAAGCCAGAGATATTCAAGGTATTACAATGTCTGTTCCTTATTGCTCTCAATGCCTGACAATTCAGTTTCTTATTCCTGTACATTTTGGAAGTGTTTCCTTCTAATTTACTAGTAGAACAATGCTTATTTTTGTTGACGGTTTTGCTTCCATGTCAAGGATGTGTGGAATACTTGACATCCACAGAGCCCATTGGATCTCCGGGAAAAGGTTGATTAGCCACCATATGAGTGCTGGGAACTGATTCCAGGTCCTCCAAGAGCAGCCAGTGCTGTTAACTGCTGAGTCATCTCCAGCCCCTATCTTAAATCTTTGAAAGACTCATTGACAATTTTAGGAGTAGGCTTTTTGGTGTTTTTATGTCAAACCATCACAATTAGATTTCCTCTTTTCTAGTTAAGATCCCTTTTATTTCTTTTTGATTGCTCTAAGACTTGAAATAACTAGTGAAAAGAGGCATCTTTTTGTCCAAGGATTTCGTAGCTATTGGCGTATTATATGGCCTTTTGTTATTTTGAAATACTTCCCTTCTAGACTTCTGTTCAGAGTTTTTCATTTTTGAACCAGCTCCTGTTTTGGTTTTAAATTTATGAGTCTGTTTCTGATTCATTTTCCTTGATACCCTTGATTCATTTGCTGTTGTAAATACCAGGAGACTGGTCACTTGAGCCCAGTTTAGGGCCAACTTGTACAGCAGTGAGACCCTCCTTAACAAATGAGTCAATACAATATATGTAGAATGCAAGAAAAACAATATTTGAAATTTTCATTGATTCCCTATATGCAGTTAACCCTTCTGAATCTTTGTCCTTATAATTGTCATTGTCCTTAGTCTTAAAATTGTATAACTTAAAAGGAAATTTGAGGCACAAAAGCCATTGGTTGCCCTTTTATCAAAGCTGGCAAACACTTAAGAACAAGACAGTTGTGAAATTGTTTTGGAGCCCTATGGCCTGCAGTTCATTTATTTCCTTACTTTGTAGTGGCTCTTTTAATATATTTGCTTAGTTCATGCAGTCAGGCAATGCATTTTCCTTAGGAACTATTATAGTACTAACCTCTGCCAGGGAACACAGAAACATTTCCTCTATTCTCTGTCAGTAATGCACAAGATACCAAGAAAAATCAAAGGCAAGCTTACAATACAAGTTCTCTTTGGAGGGGCAATTTGAGATACGACCTGCAACTTATGCTTTTTTTGCAGGGGGTGGGCGTCTTTGAGGCAAGGGTCTGCCTGTAGCCCCAGCTGTCCTGGAAATCACTGTAGACTAGGCTGGCCTAGCAAGAACAATTCAAGTATAGGGGGAATACAGTTAGGCATTAAATCTACATGGGACAAATTTGGAGGATTTAGGGATGAATAGATGTGGAACAAATACAGTGGAAGATAAGGCTGAATGCTATATATTCACTACAATTTATGAGCAGTGGGGTTCAAATTTTGTGAAAGTTGATTTCTGGGAGATCCGTTTATGTGTAAGAGTGTTAATGCCTGCATGTGTGTAAGTGCACCTGTGTCATGCAGCCCACAGAGATCAGAAGAGAGCATCAGATCCCCTGGATCTGGAGTTAAGAACCATCGTTCACCACCGTGTGGGTGCTGGGATTTGAACCCAAGTCTTTAGTAAGAATAGCCAGTGCTCTCAACTGCTGAACCATCTCTTGGCCCTTAAGTTTTATTGTGTGTACATCTGGGGATAGACTCACAGGCTAGAAGAGGGTGTCAGACCCCCTGGAGCTGGAACTGATTAAAGGACTGTGCCACTGTACCTGGCTGGAGCTAGAGTTTAGTACACATTGGGTGGCATTTTTGCTAAACACAAGAGAAGACTTACCTTCATATACAAATAGTGACTGGGAAATTCTTTTATTTCTAAAATCACAAATACCAGTTAAGATACTGGTGAGCTTGATAAGAACTTGCCAGAGTCAGTAGGCTGAAGTGTTTGCTTCAGACTGGTTTTACAAGTTGAAGGCAGAGTTTGCATATATAGCTTCAGTAACTTTAACCAGCTGGAATTCTTTTGCCTCTGCCTTGTATCAGGCTTCCAGATAATCTTAAAATATTGTAGGCTCAAATCTACCATTTGTGCTTTCTAAAATTAGTTCTGTTGCCAGAAACTTAATATGCACTGCACTTGGTTTCCCAGTCAGGTGTCCTCTGAACTGATCGGCACACCTTACAAAATCTTGCTGCTTGCCCAGTGTCTGAACTTCTGGCTGTTTTCAATGACTTTCTCCAATTTCCCAAGTGGCCTTAGAACACTTGACTTTTTTTTTTTTTAGACTCAACATGCAAAAGGCTGGTCTCATTCTTGTCAACTACAACTTAGCAAGGACTGGGATTTTACAGGCATGAGCCACCATTCTGGGCCTAGAACCCTTGAATCTTGTCTACTTAGTTTCTTCATCTTCTGTCGGTCTCTTATCCCTTAGAGCCTCCTTCCCAACTGATCTACCAAAAGTTTAGTTCTAGATCTAAATATTTACAGCATAGTATGTAAAACTGGCCATGCTGCCCATGTGTCTGATCTTGGTTCACCCCACTTGAGGATACTTGGGTATCTACAATATCAGATGAAATCCAAGTCATGAATTTCTAGAAATATTACAGGCCATCTAGGGACAGTTAAAAAAAATGCCTTTTCAACATGAAAACCAGAATCTTTGGTCTCTTGTGAGAACTGAATTCTTTGTTTCCTTATTGCTAGGCCACTGCTCAGGTCTCAGAATACTATTTGGGCTCTCATAGTTATGCCAGAAAATAAGGGTTTGGGTTCATATAATGTGGTTGGCATCTTAAGTTTCCCATAAAGCTTGGTCCTTACCTCATGGTGCTCTTGGGAAATGGAAACTAGGAACTGGGGCATAGTTGGAGGAGGTAAGTCATTGGGGTGTGCCCTTCAAGAGCAGGTTGGGGATCTGGCTTTTCTCCCTTTTGTTGTCTGGTTGCCATGAGGTGAGTAGCTTTGCTTCCCATCATGCTGTCTAGCCAATAGCCTACAGCAATGGGGTCGAATGACTGTAGAACACTGAAGCCAGCCAAATTTTCTCATTTGTGATGATACAGCAAATATTTTGTCAGAGTGATGGAAAAGTGACAAAACTCAAGTACAGTACAATCCAACCTGTTTGAGAACCTTGGGTTGCTATAAATTATTATAGATGTTTTTAGAAGAGCAATGGAAATGGCATTTCAGAACACACAGAAAATGTGTTTGAAAATAAACATTAAGACTACATTCAGGGGCTAGAGAGGTAACTGGATAAAGGCACCACCAAATGTGATGATCTGAAGTTTGGTCCCCAGTACCCACGTGGTAGGAGAGAACCAACTCCCTCAGTTGTCCTCTGATCAACACATGTACACCAGGGAATGCACACACCTGCATAAAAGTTAAAGATGATCAAGTGGGATTATTTCCTCATGATAGAAGGATGGTTCAATATAGAAGACAAACATCAGTAAAGGATATATGATTATCTCAACAGGTGCAGAAAAATATAAACGTACCTCCATGAAAATACACTAAGCACACCTTCAGTCCCAGGACTTGGGAGGCAGAGGCAGGAGGATCTCTGAGTTCAAAGCCATCCTGGTCTACATAGTTTCAGGCCAGCTGGGGCTACAGGGAGACCCTGTCTCAAAAACACCAATAACCAGTGGCACAGAAAAATGAGAAATAAAACCTGCATATTCCAACTGATTTTCAACAAAGGTTATAAGAACATACATTGGAAATATCTACATC